ATTCGAAGAACCTTTACTTAATTTTACTTAAAATTACTTAAAATTGCTTAAAATTACTTAAATTTACTTAAAATTACTTAAAATTGCCAAATTTGCCTCTTAATTAGTATTCGAAGAACCTTTACTTAATTTTACTTAAAATTACTTAAAATTACTTAAATTTACTTAAAATTACTTAAAATTGCCAAATTTACCTTATAATTAGTATTCGAAGAACCTTTACTTAATTTTAAAATTACTTAATTTTACTTAAAATTACTTAAATTTACTTAAAATTATTTAAAATTGCCAAATTTGCCTCTTAATTAGTATTCGAAGAACCTTTACTTAATTTTACTTAAAATCACTTAAATTTGCTTAAAATTACTTAAAATTACTTAAAATTGCCAAATTTGCCTCTTAATTAGTATTCGAAGAACCTTTACTTAATTTTACTTAAAATTACTTAAAATTACTTAAAATGACTTAAAATTGCCACATTTGCCTTATAATTTGTATTCGAAGAACCATCTTTTAATTTTGCTTAAAATTACTCAAAATTTACTTAAAGTTACTCAAAATTTACTTCAAATTACTTAAAACTGCCAAATTTACCTTTTAATTTGTATTCGAATAACCATGTGTCAATTTTACTTAAAATTATTTAACAGTTGCTTAAATTATACTTAATTTTACTTAATGCTACCAGATTTGCCTTATAATTTGTATTCAGCAAAAGAATTCTGAATTCAGCTTAATCCTTCTTAATTCTGCTCAATCCTGCTTTTAAATCTAGTCATTTTTTGTTTACACACAAAATGCAAAGAGTTTTTACACAAAAGTTTTTACACACAAAAGTTTTTACACACCAAAGCTCTTACACACAAAAGCTTTTACACACAAACACTTTTACTCACAAACACTTGCACACAAAGACACTTTCACACACAAAAGCTTTTACACACAGACACTTGTAAAATTACACACAAAAACTTTCACACACAAAAGCTTTCACACACAGTAGTTTGTACACACGAACAATATCATGTTTTTATCCAACATCAGCCACTGAGTTGTCAAACTGAGTTGTCAAAAAAACTGTATAAGTAAAGTGATGCTAGCGACTCAATTACCCATAGCTGTGTGACATGTGTGCAGTAATTAATTGGTTGATGCTTCCTGTTTTGTTTTACATGTGTTTTTTTCTGGAGCAATATGAGTGCAGTAGCAACTAACCAGCCAGGCTGAAATATGTTCTTTTTCATGAAGTCTTTTTTGCTCGAGCAACATGAAGTTTTGGTCGACTTAGGAAGACTGCAATTCATGGTAGCCAGTTTCTACTTAAAATCAACTTAATTTTACTTAGTTTTACTTAAAATCAAAATAATTTTACTTAAAATCAACATAATTTTACTTAATCCAACTTAATCATGTTTTTCTAAGAAAACGCTTTCTGGGGGGGTCGTGGTGAGGGGCCCTCGAAGCAATACTATGATGTTTTCCTTAACCAATTATTATGGTTGGCGCGATGTGCATCAATGTCGTGGACAGCTCTCAAGAAGTTGGTTGTCCCATCCACCCAGCGATTACGAGTTGGAATAAATCATTCCATTGCGGGCGGAAAGCGTGGCAGGTTTTGTCGGTGCTCCGTCTGCGCCGTCTGTTGCGTCTGTTCCGTCTTGCGCAGTCTTGCGCCGTCTTAGCTTGCCGTCTGCGCCGTCTTGCGAGATGGTGCAGATGGTGAGCGCAGCAATTAAAACAACCGCGCTATGCGACCGCAATGTTTCATTCCAACCAGCCAGAGTCCCTCTCTCCGCTGGTGTCTCTCGCCCGTACCTCCCGCCAGCGCCAAACAAGGAGACAGCAAGCAAGCAAGCAAGCAAGCAAGCAAGCCAGCAAGCACGCAGGCAGGCAAGCAAGCAAGCAAGCAGGCAGGCAGGCAGGCAGCAAGCAAGCAGCAAGCAGGCAGCAAGGAGCAGCAAGCATTAAGCAAGCAGCAAGGAGCAGCAAGCACCAAGCAAGCAGCAGGTAAGCAGCAGCAAGCAGCAGCAGCAAGCAGCAGCAGCAAGCAGCAGCAAGTAGCAGCAAGCAGCAGGCAAGCAGCAAGCAAGCAGCAGGCAAGCAGCAAGCAAGCAGCAAGCAGGCAGCAGGCAAGCAGCAACCAGCGTTTGCCCCCTTGAAAGAATGATCAAATATACAGAGTTTTAAAGATCAACGTAATTTAACACAAAAATTGAACTTTTCCACCCCGGAGGGCCCCATAACCATGAAATCACCAAAATTGAACTTTTTCCAGGCACACGGCCTCCCGATACGACTTTTATGAGCTGATACGACTTAACGCTAGCATTGTTAATATTTTCAGATATTTTTCGCTCCAGTCGGCTCAGGGCCGCGGCAGTCGGCACAAAGCCGCCGCTCATGACAGTCGGCTCGAAGCCGCCGTGTTGACTCGAGCGGTGCGAATGCCCTGGGCCAAATGATCCCGACCAAGACTTTTTCACTAATGGCTTGGGTCAGTCACATGAGCCATACCAATCGGCTGAAAGAACTCTAACAAGCGATTTTTTTCCACCAAGCTCGCCGTGTTGGCTGGCTATTCCTTAGCCAAGTTTCTAGGGGCAGCTACTGATACGCACTCATTGCTCAGTGGCAGCGGCAGCCACAGGCTCAGCAGCAGCAGTGGGTTCAGGCTGAGTGTCAGTCGTAGCAGCATCAGGGCCCACCATTCCAACCAACTCTTCTTGCACCTGACATTGAGCTGCACGAGCTTTGTCAGACAATTTACGAAGGAATCGCATTGTCCTGCCCACGTCTTCGCGGCTCACGCTCATCTTCTCCAGCAGCCCAGGGTCTTCGTCAAACTTGTCATCCAAGTCATCGGCAATGCAAACGAGTTGGAGCGCCAATGCACCAATCTCAGCAAGTTCTCCGTAGAGCTTGACTTTTGCCATGGGTTCCATCGCTGCTGCGGCTGGTTGCACCTCAGCTTCTGCTGTTTTCTCAGCCATGAGCAGTGAGCAAAGCGGAGGGTTGGCATAAAGTTTCAGGTTTGGGCCAAAACTCAAAAACACAGCAACAAGTCGACTTCTGACATGTTCACACATGGGATTCAAGGGAACCTCTGACTATATTTGCCAAAACTTTTCACACAGACATATCGCTGCGTCAATGGCTCACACTGCCCAGGTACCGCTTTCAAGCAAGCAGAAATCTAAGAGTCTAATGTCAAAAGGGAGCACTTTGGCTTGTCAGCCCAAAATGGGTCGACTCCCTCATGCGACCCAAAGCTGATCAGCTCAGTGCTCATGGGGCCATTGGCTCGACACAGAGCGGCCTTGACTCACCAGCACTCGGAGGATTTCTCGTCGCTGTCCTCTCCGTCCTGTTGCTCATCTTCCTGCTTGTTCTTCTTGGCCTTCTTGTTGGTCGTCTTTTTGACTTCGGTCTCCTCGTCCTTGGTCTCCTCGAGGTTCTCCTCGTCTTTGTTCTTGCGACGCTTCTTCTCCACAGGGTTTGGCTTTGCCGCGTTCTTGGGCCTCTTTTTGGACCCTGCTTCGTCGATCTTGTTCTCCTTCTTTGTCTCGTCTTCATCCTTGGCCACGGATTCAGGTCGATAAAAGGTGCTGCCTTCACGAGAGAGCCCACTGAGGATGTACTCCGTCAGAAGCAACTCCAGGCGGGATCCATGAACCTCCGTGCCGCAAATTGCGATGGCTTTGGTTCGCGAAGCTAAGGAGGCTTTGAGAAATTCACCTTGGCCCGGAGAAACATCTAGCACGCAAGTCGGAAACTTGAAGGACACTTTCTGCCTTTGGTCGCAACGAAAGGCAACCAAATAACAGCGGCTTCGACTTTGAGGAATTCCATGCTCTTTGGTAGAAAGCTTCTTGACGTAGACCTTGTACCCAAGCGCTGCAAAGCACTTCTTCATCACTTTGTGTGTCCGGGCATGGCGCTTGTTCAAAAAGGCGGAGACATTTTCTAAGATGACCAGTGCAGGTTTCCGATAGACTATGTACTTCAAGCCTTCAAAGATAAGCAACCCTCGCTTCTGCCCATCCTTTGCTCCAAGCTTCCGACCACAGCTGCTGTAGGCAGGGCAAGGAAAACCTGCGATGTACACATCGCTGGATTTGGTTTCAGTCAAAGATCTGTCAAAAATGTCCTGCTCCACCAACTTCTTCTCAGTCTTCAAGTCAAAAGCTTTATGCACAGCTTGCATCATGCTACGCTTCGCAGAATCGTTTTCGCTTCCACCAACGAATTCCATGTGCTCGGATGTCAAACCAAGCAGAGACAAAGCAATCGTCTCCGAAGAAAGTCCTGCACAGTCGGCAAAGATACGAATTTTTCCAGCTGGCATCTTTGGAGAGCCACGCTTGGATTTGTGCAGCTTCATGAAGGCTCGTAGATTGTCTATATGCTCCTCGACGACATAACTTGGAAGTTCAGGCGTCTTCCGCTTTGTCGCTTTCATTCTCAGCTGTTGTCTTTGGCTTTTGGCAGCCGCGGAGGACATGGCACGAACACAAAACGATGTTGATCTGCTTGTTCTAGTTAAAATGGATCATATGTCAACACAAAACGATGTTGATCTGTTTGTTCACACATTAATATAATTTGTCATATGTCAACACAAAACGATGTTGATCTGTTTGTTCACACATATAATATAATTTATCATATGTCAATGAATTTCTCGAACATGAAAGTGATGAGGCTGAAATAAATGTGAAAGCAGCAAATGCTTAAAGCGACTTTATCATTTACAATGCTGAAGGTGGGCCGAAAGAGGTTTTGGCCGATTGATTTTTTCGGAGTTAAGTTGGGATCCCCTAAATTTCGCCGAGAGGGGGCTAGCAAATTGCTAGTCCCCTCTCACACACCCAGACCGGCCCGGAGCCGTGAGAGACAGCATCGTTTTCCCAGAATCTGTTCAATCTCTTTTTTTTGATCTGACGCTTCCTTTCTCCAAATGTTTCAAGTAGCTTTGCTACCTTCCCAGAACAACCCCTGATTCAAAGGACAGCAACCAAAAAACTTTTGTCTTTGGCTTCACACTTGTCTGGCAAGTGCTTCACAAACCCCGATTTCTGCAGAGTCAGGAAAGACTTCTTTTGTAGGCTTTTAGCTTCCGGATCATCCTCGGCAACCAACGATATGGACCTGTTCTTGTCCAGCCTCTCCACTTTGAGTCTACGCCAGCCAGTGGTTTGCACAACCCAAGACAGGACCTTCATGAAAGCCGTATGCTTCGCTTGAAATGCAGCGGAGCAATGAATACCAACGTGAAATTCTCGAAGTCGGTTGAAAGCAGCCTTCTGGTACTGCAGTTTGAAGCCTTGTCTCCCTTCCAGCACTGCTTTCGATAGCACACAGCCACCACAAGCAACGGCAAGCAAGTAGATCTTCTCTGAAACGACTTCGGAAGAAGCAATGAAAACATCAGCCAAGCGTGGATCCTGCAAGTCTAAGATTAAATACGACGATGAAAAGAAGCAAAGATGTGCTTAAACAAATAATCTAAGCCGAGCATCTGAGACATATACCAAAGGAAGCAGCAAGGGTCGAAGTCCGGCTTCCTCGCACTAAGTCTTTCTGGCACCCAAGGATTTGAAATTCCATTGCTGTGCGAAGCATTTGTTTTGCAATTCTACTTTGTGCTTCGCCATCATTTGAATGCGCTTGTTGTCCTTGGCATCACATGTGCCTTTTTCTTCGAGACCTCGGAAAAAGGGTGCTGACCGGCATCACTCGTCAGTAAGTAGCCGTTCTCGGCAGCTTCCACTGCTCTGTCCAAACGACGTTTATTCTGCAGCTTGAGCTCTTTCATTCCTTTGGCAGACAGTTGCAAATCTTCAGCGGAGGGAAGTCTGGAAGATGACGAGGATGTCACAGATTTCTGAATGGCCTTCTGTACAGAAGCTTTCTTTTTTCCAAAAAAGTATGTTCGGACTTCGGATGCTTTTTCTTTTTGGTGCCTTTGTCAAACCGGGGCTTTGCTTGTCGTCCTTTGTGCCTCTTCACTGCTGCTGCATAGAGTTGGCGAGCTCCTTCGATGATGTCTTTCTGACTTTCCTTCCCACTCATTGTCAGCACGCTGATGCTCCGACGTTCAGTGTCGGCGGCTTTGGGACCGAAGCGACCTGTGTGATAGCAACGGTCAGCTTTGGAAAAGCTCTGCTCCACTCCAGACCTTGACGGCAATACCCACCAAAATGAAATTAAAGAATGCCATAATTTTATGAGTGCTGCCAAGGGACGAAGAAGGAGTCCAACAAGCATAAGCTCGCAAAGTCTTTGGAAGATGCTTCAAGGCATACTTCTTTCGTGCATGCGCATTCTTCTGCGTGTGGTCATAGGCAGCTTTCCAAGCCTCTCTGTTGTCTAGCTGAGAAAGTCTTTTTTGAGCTTCTGCTATGGGCCGCAGAGATTCCCATTCATAACGAAGACCAGCTGGATCAACATCCAAAGCAAGCGCGATTCGTCGCAAGCAAGCAGAGGTCTCTTTTGGTGCCGGTTTCGTCGTAGGTCTGTCGCTCAAGTTGAAGACAAGCATCGCATTGAGGACTTCAAAGTGAGGAAATTCAGCTCGCACCGTGGCTTCGCAAAGGCGGACCCAAGGCTGAAAGTCTTGCAGCGCTTTGTCTTTCACCGCCGCACTGACTCGTAGTTGGCGT